ATGAAAACATGTTTAAACTCTTAGAATGTATTCCTTTTCATTCAGTTGTCCAATGGCTGTAATTTCATATTTACTGTAATTATTTTATTGTAGTTTAGTGTACAGTTATTAAAGGGGCTGTTTATCAACGTCTGACTTCTGAATATTATTAATTTAATCATTGCTGTTCTTTAACTTATCTCATTGTTTTATTTTTTGTCAATCTACTAAGCTATTTAAAGCTAGCTAGCATCCACTGTCTTTGTTTAAGGTTTCTAATAAAGTTTCCCCAACACAAGCGGAAGTGACATCATCAACGAGCCTCGGTCACTCTGCTGAATCAAAACAATGGCCGACTGGGAAGCTAGCATTTCACCTCCTGTGATCTTTTTAAACGTTTAACACTTAACTTTCGCTGAGTCACATTAATAGACTCTTTCTGGGATGGATAGATGATTTAATACGTGTATTTTGAAAGAGGAAAAAACAGCTGCCAAGTCCCGCTTTTCGCTGCCAAGATGAGCGATGTTGTGGAGAAGACCCTGACAGCTCTGCCGAGCCTCCTGTCTTTAGACTCTCAGCCTGGCTCAACCAAACTGTCCTCCACCTCCAAACTGGGAAACCTCATCAGAGGGATCACAGAGCTGACGTCCAAACATGTGAGTGTGTCCTTCAACTCTGGAGCTGAGGTGAAATGAGATGAGTCAGGTGTTGGTGAAATGCTCCAAGGTTAGCATGCTAAGCTAACACAAGAAAGGTGTGTTTATGTGTTTAAGGCACAGGTTTAATGGGTTTTTTTTGGGGGAGTTTTTCCTTATCCGCTGTGAGGGTCTTAAGGACAGAGGGATGTCGTATGCTGTAAAGCCCTGTGAGGCAAATTGTGATTTGTGATATTGGGCTTTATAAATAAAATTGAATTGAATTGAAATTATAATATTATGCCACGTATTCCGTGCAGTGCAGTGCTGTGTTTTAGACCGATTTACATAAACTCTCTCGTTCCTGCTATGTTATTATCACGTGTTAACACAGGTGAAATCAAATATCGGACTATTTCAAAAACATATCCCTGCTGGTGCGTTCATGTGCTTGTGATAAACTCAGATATTCAAGGTGTTCAGAGTCAGTTGCGAAAAAGCTTGGCATCCACAAACCGTTTTGCAGAGAAGTTAATCCTGGAAGGCAAACATGGCCAATGTGGAGTAATGCTGCTGCTCTTCAAGTCCTGGATACTGTGATATCCCACAGACACGTGAATGCTCCATTTAGGAATTGTTTACAGCAGGTTTACAGCTAAGATCACTGTCATGCATTGCCTATTAAAAGTAAGTCGCTGCAGTCTACAACTTGGTTTTCATTGTGTGCTGACACGGTATACTTTAGGTAATGGTCAAGAGTACAATATAAACTAGTTTTGTATATTCAAATATATTTAACAATACAACATATCTAAGTGTATTTATTGTTTTTTTCTGAAGGGTCCATGGAGAGTGCAGGAACCCATTGATATCATATTGGCATTTCTGGGGCCTCATGTTGTTCATATGTTCCCTTGTAGCTCAATGACGCAAGTTCCTGTCTTCTCTTGGGACCCAGTACCTAGTGGTTACAGGGGCTCAGGTCTTGTCAGTGGCAAAACAAACTCACTGGCTCAAATTCAGCTTCTGCCCAGTGGCTATTTTATGTTTGATCTGATTATGCCATGTGCCATCTGTGCGACGTGTAACATACTAGGATCTTGTGTATTGCTGCACGCAGCTACGTTGTGCTGCTCATCACCCTTTATGTATTTGATGATCTCCCAATGCCAACACCCCTGAGAAGGAAGGAGGGAGGGAGGGAGGGGTTGCATATGCAAGGTGGTTTGTGTTTAATAAAAATAAAAAAATAAAAAATGCAAAACCCAATTATCAAATATAAACCAATATACAACACATGATCAAGCTTTTTCAAGGAAAGAATGATACAGCTCCAACATTGTTCTCACAGTCCACCAACCGTTCATCAAGATGGAGACAGACTTTGAAAGTCTTACCTAACCCATGTGAGAAAACAGAAACTGAAAACTAGAACATTAAATCATATCAACAAACAAGCTCAACTGATTGTTTTTCCAGAAACAGATAACGGTTATTTTAAAACCACATCATGAAATATAATACTTGCAAGATGTTTTTTTCAAGGTGCAAATATTATTGGATTAAAAATCATAAAGTAGTACATCAAGATGTCCACATTCTTTTGAGGAATGCTATGGTGCAGGCGCTGTTTAATATTTGCATTAACGGTAGAAGGGTTTGACACCTCTTAAATTATAAGGGGCAGCTTATTTTTAATTCTTTAGCATCAACACAGTGGCCAGAATCCTTACTTATTACTGTCTTAAATCTCCAAAGGTTTAAATTTGCTTCACTGACTCTCCTATTATGACTATAATCTTCTCTCACATTCTTCAGATAGTTGCTAAAATAACTACCTGTAAACACTTGTCTGTAAGATTCTGACATGTAGATCATGGGCTGAAGTATGGTCTATTAGTCTAACATGACCACTGAAAGCAAACAGGGCATGGCAGTGCCAGCGTCAGCAGGCACAATCTCAGTATTTGATTTGAACATCCTGTGTATTTTTCCCTTTTTCAGGAGGAGGAAAAACTTATTCAACGTGAACTAGCATCTATCAAAGAACAGGTGTCCTCCCCCAACACCTCCATGGTACGATTCTCATGATTTTCCATTGTTGTTTTGTAAAAGAAAGCAGATTATTTGAATCGGTCCAGTGATGCCTGAAATTACTGATGTGTTTCCTTCTTCCTTGTATCATAATCTGATTCAGAGGCAGATGAAGGAGCTCATGGTGAGAGCAATCTACTGTGAAATGCTCGGTTATGAGGCTTCGTTCAGCTATATTCATGCCATCAAACTGGCTCAACAAGGCGCCGCTCTGGAGAAAAGAGTTGGTATGTTTTAACTCAGTGGCTTTACAATACTCACTTTGTCTCATGATCAATTCAAGATGCATGATTAGTAGCTTTGTGAGCTTTTATAGTAGTTTTTTTTTTTTATTTGGGCAAAAAATAAGTCTGTTTCTGATTTGCAGGTTATCTCGCTGTGTCTTTGTTTCTGAATGAAAGTCATGAGCTGCTGCTTCTCCTTGTGAACACTGTATTAAAAGTGAGTGTTGGCATTTTTACAGTCTTTGTCATCATCATCATCTGGTGTCTGCATATGTTAATGTATTTTGTGTTTTCAGGATCTTCAGAGCACAAACCTTATTGAAGTGTGCATGGCTCTAACTGTCGTCAGCCAGATGTTTCCCAAAGATATGATTCCTGCAATCCTTCCTCTGGTTGAGGAGAAACTGAATCACCCAAAGTAAGAAATGCTCTTTGGCTCTTAAGCCTAATTAGTCACCAATATGCTTTAAAGTAAACTGGAGCATTAAAAATCAGCCTGAATATCATGATTTATATGGTTTTCATATTTGCAGAGAAATCATTAGACGGAAAGCGGTCCTGGCGCTGTATAAATTCTACCTAATAGCACCGAATCAAGTTCAACACATCCACAACAAGTTTCGCAAAGCTCTGTGTGACAAAGACCCGGGTGTCATGACAGCTTCTCTACACATCTACTTACAGCTGATCCAGGTAATTTATTTTTCTGGAGGGTTCTGGCTGGGTTTTGGCAGAATGGAAAAGTTTTGATTTTAGTTCATGTCTGGATAAGTATGGGGAGAAAAGAGAGTCTGTGAAAATATTTGTGTTTTTATACTATTGCCCCTGCTCTGTTTTCTAAAATATGAAATTTTAAATTTCTGAAAATGAATTGATCATACAAGCAGCCTGTTTTTCATGGCCTTTGGAGCAGGCAGCCAGCACAGCCAAATTGTTTACCACTGTTTGAAAGAGTGTGGGACAGAGTTAGCAAGCAGGCAAGGAGTATGTTGTGTGACTGAACACACTCCTACACAGAGCTGCTTCTATTCCTATTTGTCACAGCCTGCAAAGCAGCTCTGCCCTAAGTGACTCACAACTGAACCAAATTTGCTACCAAATTAGTTTGAAAGAAAATGTGGCAATATTTTTGAAATGCATATATACATAATATCGCAATAACCATATATTAAGCTTGTCTGAACATTTATCAGATGTGCAGTGATGTAGTTTTCAGAAAAGTAAACAGATTGTCTTTTCTGCATTAAGCAACCTTTAAAGATCCGTCCAATATTATTTCTATAGAAAATGTTGCTTCCAACTCAGACACATCCCCAAAAGTAGTCATTCCCTATCAACCTCTGATCTAAAAATAGTCATTCATGCCTTAGTATCACCCAGGCTGGACTCCTCTAACCCCC